ACATAGTGGCTCATTAAACTTTGGTTTTTTTGATGAGTACAGTCTTGAGCACACAGGATCTCTTTCTTACCTCTAGTCTATGTGAGATCTCGGGAAGCTTAGTAATTGCAGGCTCCTTGTAAACAAATTCTTGCTCATCCAAATCCCCAAATTTGGAACCATAGAAACCAACTCGGAAGTAAGTTCCAAACATCCTCTTATGATCCTGTTACAGGAGAAAAGTTCTCTTTAGTCATGTCACTACCAGTGATCCACTGGGTTAAAAAGATCTTTCACTGTGCTGCAGACATTTTATTCCTGTAGCTGACAAAGAGGATTCGCTTTGTTAAGCAGTTTTTTTGTTTTGTTTTGTTTTGGTCTTTTTGATTCAGGGACTTCCGGTAGCCCCAGCTGTCCTGGAACTCACTATGTAGACCAGGCTGGCCTTGAACTCACGAAGATCTGTACTGCCTCTGCCTCCCGAGTCCTGGGATTAAAGGCGTGTGCCACCATGACCCGCTTTTAAGCAGTTTTAGTGCTTACAAAATAAATGTTAGAAGCGATAACAAAGAAATCCTAGGAAAGATGTCTGTGGCTTCATCTAAGTGAACTTAAAAGTTTCTCACATTTTTCCATTTATAAAGCAATTCCACCTGCCTTCCTTCAGTCAGTTTCCAGCCCTTCCTTGTCTGATGGTGAGAACTACAGCAACACTGAGCTCAAGGCCAGTCTGCAGCCAGTGAAAAAGGATGGTGGAGCACCTCTAGGATGGGTCACCTGACACCATAGGATGGGTCACCTGACAGCAGCTAACAGAACCCTAGTGTTCAGCTACCTTGTTGATGATGTGGTCAAAGGCCTTCTGCAGCTTGTCGTGTGTAGAGGCCAGCTTCCGGAAGTCCCGATGCGCTTCCAGGATGGGGATGACCAGCTTGTAGACCTCATTAACCGTCTCATACAAGCCTCCCTTGTTAAGAGAAGAAGAGGATTTAATGCACTGGAATTTAAGAAGAGCAACCAGAGTCAATTATGTAGGCAATGTGCTGGCAAGCACACTTACTGTTGCATCAGTGTTTTACAGGGCCTGCGGGCTGTCTGAGCAATTTTCGGGGTGTCATAGCTTTCAGATCAAACCAGACACATCGCTAAAGGGTCCTGTATGGTGATGTTAACTAGGGAGAAGGCTTTTTACAGACTAAGAATAGGGGAAGAGATGGGCTCAGCCACTAAGGCACTCTGCAAGGCAGGCTTGCAGATTTTGAGCTCATCAGAGGTTCCCCTCTAGCCTGATGCAAAGTCTCAGAGGAGCTAAGAGGGTTCTAACCAATTTATTTTCTAGAATTTCAGTGAAATAAGAGTTAATGGGTACACATGTGAACAGGAGCTAGGTATATTGACACATACATGTGAAAAATGTCGTACGGAAGCCCATCGTTTTGTATAATGAAAAGTTAACCAAAGAAGACTTTTTCACTCCTAAAACAAAATAAAAACAAGAAAAGAAATAAAGCTAACACAATCATTAAAATATATAGAAAACATAGGAAGTTTGGAGGCAAAGATCAGAAAATTAAAAAATAATATA